AGGGTGAGGTGAGGGAGATGGGATGAGCGATGGGAGGGGAGAGGACTTGGTGAAAATTAGGCTAGGTAGCTAGGTGATGATTTTTATGAGGTATGACCTTTTCACAGGCAGACATATTAAGACCTCGCCTGTGAAAATCGATTTTCACAAGTGGGACTAGGTTTATGGTATCTTTAGGTATTTTTATGAACATTGATTTTATGGTCGCTTGGAAAAATAAATCGTAATGTTTGGAAAAATCGTTTTTCTATTAGTGCATGATGCGTTAGCTCATCTCAATTTTAATGCACAATAATTATTTTATTTAAGTACCTAGCTAAATGGCAGCTACTAATTAACATTCATATATACCTACCGGCTTGGTGGACTACGTGAGAATGCTATTCTAGTTTTTTCTGGCATTTGTCGTAATGGAAAATGTCTAATATATGATCATCGGATTGAGCAGTCGCCTAATTGCGAAAAGCGCGTGACTTCTCCATCAATAGCATGCAGCCTGCCTACTGTCATGATTGATGAATATTTGTTCCTCTTCTTGCTCATCATTATTGTGTCGTTTGCGTATTTAGAAACAACAATTGTTGCAGTAAAATACAAATGTATTGGTGCTGTGTGGATTGGGAACTGGCAGATCTAGTGATGCAAGCAACTAATTAGAGACGGAAAGGTAGAGGGAGGACGAGAGAAACACATACCTCTACGGCTTTACATCATGTCATTGCGAGAAAATATATAAACCATGCTTGGTATGGTCAGTTGGAGATCTATCCAACGGCTAACGCAATCCACAACTAAGTAACCAGTAACAGAGCTCTGCTACGGTTACTCTAGCTAGCTAAGGTTGTATTCTTTGTCCTGGGTTCCCAACCACTCTCCCTCTTTTTCACGCACGCACTTTTCAAACTGATAAACGATACGTTTTTTAAAAAAAAAAATTCTATACGAAAATTACTTAAAAAACTCAAATTAATCTATTTTTTTTAAAAAAATCTAATACTTAATTAATCACGCGCTAATAGACTAATCTGTTTTCCGTGCGGAGAAGATGGGTTCCCAACCCCATTAGCGAACACAGACTTAGAGGATCCATTTTCCCTTATGCTGATCAATGACTATTTTTATTTACCAATATATTGATTTTTTTTCACATTGCATTTTTTTCTTTTTTTTTCTTTCTTATCGTTAGTCCATAAAGAAACGCAATATTCGGAAGAACGTGCAAAAATCTTTCTTGTTTGTATTACAAACTAACTATGGTAGCCCGGCATGCAACGTGTTATAGCTAGCTATTGGGAGAAGCGACCTTGCGACCATCTAATTCCAACAGTACGTAGGAGAATTGCTTCAAAACATTTGCATGTCTTCATGTGCCGACAAAACAAAACCAGACCAACTGAGCCAGAGAAAACACAAAAAGGTTCCACTAAGAATAGCGATTGGTAAATTAACCCAAGCACATACTGATTGACAGAATCTAACACGGCAACAACGACGTTTGTCTTTTTCTTTCTCCCCTTTATTCCTGGTAGACAATAATCGCAAAGAGGAAATTTTAACTGCTCGGCCATGAATATTCATACCCGGCCATACCCTACGCGAAGTGGCGGCATGCGCCCCTCCGCTCCGGCCCATACACGGTTACGTAGGACCAGCCAAATTAATCGATCCGCCTTTGTAACCGACCCAACCGTAGCAGCCATCCCACATGGCTCGTCGTCACTCCTCACTGCCACTGGAGCTCTTTTTCGGCAAGTTGGCGCCACCACAACTTGACGCACTTGGCATCTGTTTGCCCTCGTCTCTCGGATCGGACCCACAATCACAGTCGGAGTTCCATGTCCCTTCGCTCTCAAACTAGACGAGCTCTCTACAGCATCGACGACCGAAAAAGAAACAGCTATACCGCACAGCACCGGCCTTAATTCGACGTCGAAGCTTAGTACTACTAGTACGTTGTGTCGTTAGGCTAGCCAACCCGGCGAGTACAGATGCCGTCGCCGATCGCACGCGGGCACAATGATTACCGGCTACGATCCGTACGCGTCACGTCGTTTCCCCGGGCCTCGCTCTGTCGCGAATTCACGGGGCATGAAGAAGGTAGCGCAAGGAAGAGAGCTGGAGGATGTAGTAAAACCGATCGACCTGCGCGACGTACGCCCGGCCGTGTCCATGTGTGGTCGCTCTCGCCGGCGAACACCAATGATTGCGCCTGTACCCGCTTTCATGCGCGTGCCTGCCTGCCCCGGCCGGCCCCCTTGCGGCGGGTCGCCAACATCCAACGTGCGTGCGAAAGCAACACGCGCCGTGGCTTCGCAACAGCTCAGTTAATTAGGAATCATCAAGGATGCACGCGACGCGCAACAGAAATTAACTACGTCTCAGAGATCGGCGGACGGACACGGGTGGGGCACAGGGCACGTACATGCATACACATACCAAAACTATATGACCGACAGCTTACATACGCATGGCCGACGCATCTGGCTTTGCGACTGAGGTATGGACCGTCTCGACTGTACGTACGTACGTATAGTACTTATTATGGTCTTATGGGCGAGCACCTGCAACCGCATTTGATGAATGCGAGAGACATATAAATCCGAACACAGATTGCGTGGCTGAATCTGGTCTGGACAAAGCCCGAGACGACAACAGAGGAAGGGATTAGGCGAAGACCATAATTCCACCCCAATTAATACCACCACGCCCTGAACAACCTGCTCCAGGTCACCGGCGACGAGCCGGTGAGATTCCAGTACGGCCGCGCGCCTGATCTGCCCGTTCGTTTCAGCGCCCAGAGATCAGGAGAGGAGATCTCGGCGCCCGATCCCAGTGACGCCAACGAGAGGAGATCAGGTGAGGCGGCCACGTCACTCGCAAAAGCTGCCAGAGCACCGGACGTTTTATAGCTGGCCCATCGGTGGGCCCGGCAAAAAATTATACACCCACGTGCTGGGCTGCTTCACGGTTTCCGTTTCCTGTTCCGTTTAGGAAGAGAAAAAAGAAAAACACAGAGAGAAACAGCTAATAGGGGGATGGCGACCCCACCTGCAGCGACGGAGAAAGCGGACGAAAGTAAAAGCGGCGCGATGCCACGCCACCACACGTCCACACCCATGCCATGCCACACATCGCCACTCCGACCCGACGAAAAAAGGGCGGGAACGTAGAACTGGACGGGACCCCACGTTTTTTATGGGCATCCCACATGGCACGTTGCGTCGTGGACTCATGCGTCGGGGGCCCAACCGTCACTCGGAAGAAAACAATCCAGGGGCCCCGGTTACCGCTGCCCCTGGCCGTTGCAGATTATGTGAGAATCACGGCTGCCCTGACTCAGGATCAGCCCCTAATTAGGAGCTCCTAGCTTCTGTCGTTGGGTAAGTTCAGTTTTTTAGATAAAGTACGAGTTGATCTTGAGCTCATTTTCCTTTTTGAGATAGAGATATCGAGGTTAGGTTTAGGTACAATTGGACGTTTACTCAAAAAGGTTTTATCCAAAACCCTATTTAAAAGACGACATGCATTTTGTGATGGAAGGGTATATCTCAGTTAATCAGCTAAACAAAACAGTGGGCAAAGCAAAAAAAAATTAAAAAAGGAGAAATTGCCAAGTTCAATATAGCACTACCCTCACTGTCGGGCTGAAAACTGCTCGGTGGTTGGATGACGCCGCATGCAGGTATAGTAGTAACAATTTGCAGCGATAGGCGGTACCCAACGTAGAGGTCAGGATATGATTCAGGTCAGGAAACAGGTAAACGGATGGCACGACACGGCAGGGACCGGAGCATCTCGCAGATCGCCGGGTCGCTTCATACAGGAGACGAGAAGGACAGAGAGGCGCACAGGGGCGCGCGCCCATGATACAAAATACAAATCGCGCATACTACCACTGTACACCATCAGTACATACATACATACGGTTTGTCACGTAGCCCGGGCAGGCACGGCACAGCCTAGCATTGCAGCGGCACACCGCACACACAACCCCCCACACCTGAATGCGGATGGCGACGGGGCCAGCCAGCCAATCATGCCCGCCACATCACCACCGTCCATCCATCCCCCTGCCCAACCCCGTACGGACCACGTGGACGCCTCCCCCCGTCGGCCCGGAGGAGGAGCCCTGGCTTACAGGTGGGCCCTGCCCTTCATTATGAGACAGCTAGGCATTAGCCTATGGCGTCCGACCGACCGAACCACCACCGGTGGCCTCGCCCGCCCGCACGCCTGCCGCGCTCGCGCGACGGAGCACCAGCGCTGCTCCCGGCCAGTGTCGCGTAGCGCGGGGGCAGCGCCGTACTTTCCCCTACCCACGCTGCCCCGATGATAAATTACAACGACGGTGAAGAAAAAGAAAAGGCACGGCCGTGCCCTCATCCGCACCGTGCAGATGAGAGACGAGGGATGTTTTTTTTAAAAAAAAAAAATTTACCGCGTGCGAAGGACGGCCGCGTCCGGCTGGCCGGAGCCGGACCCACGGTTCGTGGCTGCACCGTGGGGCCCGCGGGTTTTTAACCCGGCGCGCCGTTCAGATCAGATCGGCCACGTGCCACTGAATCCATCGCCACATTTCCCGTTCCATGTTACTCCTGCCTCAGCTCGAGATGAAGCAAACTGCAAACACGAGAGGCCTACTTCCTTGCGTTGGCATTTCGTAAAGTTAGCAGTAGTAGTATACTCCACTAATTTAGTACCGTTAATTGTAGTTTGAGAGAGACTACTACAGGCTTGGGATCCACATTTGGGATACTCCGTTCCCTTTTACCGAGATGTAGCAGAGAATTCATTGCTTTATCGTCCTTTCTCCATGCGACCATGCCTCTGTCCTTCACGAGAGCAGTAAGTATGATTAGGAGATGATGGCATATAACTTGAACCACACTGAAGACAGTATTAGATACAGTAACAAGATGGTTAATTAGGCCTTTCGTCGACAGGAGGAGGAAAGACATTCATCCCCACGCACTGGGCGCACGAGAGAAAACACAGTGGTAGAGAAGTGATGTGAACCATTCATGGTGCATTTATCAGAGATGGAAGAAGAACAAACGAGGCATCCTACAAAAGAATCCTGAGGAGAAAGAAGAGAACAAAACAAATGTGGCCTACTGCATTACAGCGCGGGTTAATCACCGCAATGCCATCACCACCACCGCCATAACCGCTCACCCAGCTCATGGAAAAGAAGAGGACAAACTAGAGAGCAGACAGCTCGAGGCTAACTAATCCCAAGGAAAAAATGAAAGAAAGAAAAAACAAATTTACAACGAATGCACGAATCTTGAGGCTTGGGGGTCACGCCGGCGAAGAGGAGCCGCCGGAGGAGGAGGCTGAGCCTGAGCCGGAGACGGTGGAAAGGACCTCGGCGAGCGCGGTCATGGCGCGCACCTGCATCTCCAGCGCGGCGATGTAGTCGGAGGCCTCGGCGAGGAGAGCCGGGAATGGGAGCTTGCGGCAGCCGGGCACCAGCCGCCCGAGCACCTTCGCCTTCCTCGCCAGAGCTGGGGCCTTCGGCCCTTTACCGGACGACGAGGATGGGTGGCGCGACGGCGGGGAGATGGCCTCGCGGAGGCGCGCGCGGCGCGCGGCCTGGATGCGGCGGCGGTGGGACGCGAGGATGGCGCGGCTCCAGCGCGTCCGCCCGCGCGCCGAGACGGCGAGCGCGCGGTCGGCCGCCTCGCGCACGGCCCGGCTGCGCGGCGGGGCCGCCGCCGAGGAGGAGGGCGACCCGGAACGCACGAGGCGGATGGCGTCGAGGAGCTTCGACGAGTAGATCTCGTGCGCCCGCCGCGTCCGCCACTTGGAAGGCTGCGCCTCGGACCCCTCCGACTCCCCCGTCGCGCCACGCTTCCTCTTCCGCTCACTATTCCCCCTCTCCTCCACCGCCGCCGCCGAGCCCGAGGTGGACGCCATTGCCTCGCGCAGCAAAGAATTCTTGCCACAAACCCAACTTACAGCACAGAGACCACCAAAAAACAGCAGGATCAGGATATCTGTGACCTCTCAAGATTCCCTCCTCCTCATGGAGCATACACCTGGTTGCTGTGCAGAGGAGGAGAGGGGTGGTGAGATGGATGGAAGGAATGGGGGAGGAGGGGAGTTGGGAGGTTGGGGAATATAAAGGGGGTGGTGGCATGTGCAAATGCCAACACTGATGGTGCTCCCATTAGTCCTGTGATCCTTTTGGATTTTCCGAGTTTTTTTCTCTTCTCTGTGCTGCTGCTGTGTGTGTTAGTTAAATAAGTGTAATTTTGCTCGTCCCATTTCTTGTAATTTTTTTTATATCCCTATGGTCTATCCATTTTGCATGTGTGACACTGGGAGTAACCAGCTAATTATGAGGTCCACCAGGTTTGGACTTTTTCAGATCGGTGTCCACCGGTTGGTTCAGGGTGGCAAGAGGGTGCGAGTGTGTAAAGAGAGCGGACAATATCTGTTTGTTCAATCGACCGAAAGCTTGAACAACCGAAATCTTAGTATGAAGCAAACAAGGAAGATGTACATGTATTTTTAGGCGTGATCTGTTCTAATTACGAATCCAACGGAATGAATGTGGAATATCAAATGCTTTCTCTATTGGCCTTGCATATATGCAAATTTTATAATTAGGTACTAAGAACAAAAATAATTTAATCTCATCAACAATTTCAAAAATCAATATAATTAGTACTTTTAAAAAAGAAAGTTACCGAAAAAAGCGTTAAGAGTGGATTTTAAAAAGATCATAATTAGGTACTCGGCTTTGGAGTCAACTTTTTCCCCCAATTCAATAATTTATAAATTTAAAATGAATAAATAAATGGGATTTAACTCTTAATTAAAAAGCATAATTATAAAGTTGTGACTGTGCTCATTTTCGATTTAGTTAATTAACCTGTTATGATTCAGGTGTGTCCTCATTTGCTCCAATATTATGCACTATCGAGCGAGGTTTGAATACAATTGGTCCCATCTTTTCGCTTATGTTTATGCTTATCAACCAAAATTTAAATTTTCAACATTAAATTTGAAGCTGATTTTGAGGTTTTTCATCGAAGTTTATTTTTCAACCTTTGCTTTTAGGTCACTAAGAACACGTAAATAAAAGTTTTATTCACAATTATTTATCGTTTGCAAATATGACGTTTAGCTTATTCCTGGGGCGGAACATGTTTATCATGAAGATCTGAAAATTACCATATTAATCGAATTAGAAAAAGAAAGAAGATGCACACTTAGGCCAACTTGAGCTATTCGGTAGCTTGAGCTGCGGTTGGGGTGTAGCCCAACGCCAACGGTGTCGCAAGCATCATATAAACGTTGGGTTGTGCAGCCGTAACCTTCTGAACACCCCCTTATATCGTGATGGTCCATATTATGACATCTAGTGATTTTTTATGCAAATTTTTTGCAAAGCTATATAAAAGTAAAATTGAATTTGATATACAACTCTTAGCTTCTATTTTAATAAATACAAGTATATTTTTTATAATGTATTTTGAAAAAAAAACATAATTGGATATCATATACAATTGTTAGCTTTTGTTTTCATATATACAGTGTGGTTTGTATACAATGAAAAACACTCAGGGATCTTCCGGCTAGCTTCAAAAGATGGTGGGCTAGTCGACTTGGGTTCAAAGCCCTACTCTTTTTAATTATTTGATATTATGTCATTCCCTAATATTCATATTTTTAGTTTGTATACAATAGTTTTGAAAGTAGAGTTCGATTAGATATGCAATTATGATTTTTTTATATATATATACAAGTATTTTGTGTACAACTTATGATTTACGTACGAAACAATCTACACATCATCTGAACCCATCATGATCTAACGGCACAAATATTTAATTAATGTGAAATTTTGTATGTCTCTAGAACGAATATGGTAGCTCCTTTTAGATCTATATTGACAATATATATAGATAGATAGATAGGTATATATTTATTTATTTGTATACGAAGTATAATTTTACATAGAAAAAAAGGGAAAGATAAGTACTGTATATCAAATCAAGTTGCACTTTCAAATATATTACATATATAACACAATTCTATAGGGATAAAAGTTGAGTAAATTTCTAAAACTATAAATACTTTCGTCAAAGTATCACAAAACTACAGATTTAAGAGCGTATATCACGAATTCATAGGTTCGGTGTAAAATTTATGTAAAACTACATATTTAAATCATCATATCACAAAACTACAGAACTTGTGATGAAATTATCAAAGAACTACATGTTTTAAAGTTTTTATCCATAGCACTGTTGAGGTTACAAAAGTTGTAGGTTTATGATAAAATTAATATTAAACTTATAATTTTCTAGTACAATCAAAATCTATAGTTTTTTTGAAAAAGGGTAAAATGATGCTAAATATGTATTTTGTTATATACATTCTCAAACATATATGTAGTTTTATAGTTTTATGATAGATTGATCAAATTATCTGCAGTTCTTATGAACTTACTCATAACAGTTATATATAATATCTGATTCAATATTCAAATTATAGCTCCGTGCAAAACTGCACAAGAAGATAAGTTAATTAGTCACCTCTAATATTGTATGCCATAGGTGCTTTTGTATGAAGAAGTTGCATGTTTTTTTTTATCAGTTGTATAATCAATGTCGGGGCCATTGAAAATTTTAATGTTGTTGAAGGGATTGAAAACTGAATTTTTACGTAACAAATATGTAATGTACTTAGATATGCTCGCGGGCACTTTGAAATTCGATCCGGGCTCAGCCACTTATAATATAAAAAATATCATGTGTAAATTGCGAATAGAAAGAGTCACTAAATTTTGTTCTGAGTACGGTCTGGTTTAGTTCCCAACTTTTTTTATAACTTTCAATTTTTCTATCACATCAAAATTTTCATACACACAAACTTCCAACTTTTCCGTCACATCGTTACGATTTCAATCAAACTTCTAATTTTTGCGTGAACTAAGGCCTGGTTTAGTTTCCAACTTTTTCTTCAAACTTCCAACTTTTCCATTACATCAAAACTTTCCTAGACACATAAACTTCCAACTTTTCCATCACATCGTTTCAATTTCAATCAAACTTCCAATTTTAGCGTGAACTAAACACACCCTACATCCATCACATGAATAAAATCACTTATATTTTAGACTGAAGTAGTACTATTAAATTATGAGATGAACCGCAGAAGTAACAATCTTTCACTGTGAGATGTGGCCGGCGGATCCACAACTTCAGTTGTAGCGCCAGTACAGCCTAGGCATCGCATTTCCGGGGTGTAGGTGAGGTATACTAAAAACGGGGGAGCTCCAAACAAGGAGTACTTTGCTCATGCAGCGAGCGAGTGATCCGATGCTAGTGGCCATCATTAGGGCAGTACTACATGCAGGCCATAACCACGGTGGTACTACCAATCTAGCATACTCCTATGCATTGAGCTATAGCACAGGCAAGCAAGCATGCACGTTCCTCAGGGGCATCCAGTGATGAGCCACTAACACTAACATGGAGCCAGGGAGAGGGTCACATGCAAGGACGTTGCTCGGCACAAGCAACCTGCGCTCAACTGGGCTAAATCATTCGTGCCCTTTGCTCCTCAAATAATGCCGGTATTCCTCCCCTCGAAGACGTACGTGCTTATCCTGTCGATCGATCACATGTCGTTTTCTTTGAGTGAAACAAACATGTTTTTTACGTACGTTAGTACGTACCCCGGTTCGGTCCAAATAAAACTATGGATTTACCCCGGTTCGGTCTAAATAAAATTCCTACGAGATTCTGTGGATTTAGATTATTACCGCTCAACACGTCCTTATCTCTGTCTGTCCAAATTAAACACGTGCAGTGCCATGCAGTAAAAACTTGTTAAACAGGTTGGAATTAACGGGAGTATATGGTCATTAATTTGATTGTCCGTGTAAAAATGATGCGTGCATGCATGGCTGTGTCCTTGCAGATGCTCGCCCCCGTTTTATGAGGCGGCTGCCCAACCTTTTAATGGCCGCCAAAAGTCAAATGCTCGTCTCGGTAAGCGTAAACTAAGCTGAAAGCAAGCCGCGTTGTAGGTAGCCGTCGCGATTCGACTGTTTTTTAAGCCGTCAGCTAGCGTGCTCTGCCAGGCCGGGCCTTGTTTTAAATTTGAAAGCCTATCTACTTAGGCTGCATGCTTGCTTGTTTGCTTCCGTGTTAGCACGTACTAAGCCGCTGCTAACCTCTAATTAGAGTCTTAGACTGTGTATTTACTAGTGGCACTGCTAGTACAAAAGTACTACCAGTGCTGTGCACTTGCGTTGCAAACAGGGGGACAGCTTGATCCACAGCTTAGCTGAGGCAGAGGCGATGGTAAATGCATGGTGCTCCTTCAATTTGTTTTGCTCCATCGTCACACACTCGCAGTGAATCAGGGATAGGCTGTTGTAATCAATTATGGTATCTCCTTGCAGTGTCGTCTGATGTTGTAACCAACCGACGGCACAGATCAAAGCACCAATAGAAAACCCTGCGCCTTTTCCCTATGGCCTGCGGCTCTGCATGTGCTCCCACCGGGTGTATCGGTTGACTGCAGCAGATATATATCAATCCACGGGCCTGTGCCGATCGAACGCAGAGACGAGACGAGACGAGACGCAGGGTACGTGCCTAATCAGGCACGGGGCTGACGCACGCATCACTCGCTCACCGCCAGTTCAACAGTTGACAAATTGCGTGCGTATCGTGCGTCCAAGCCAACGCAGATGTGTGCATGCAATGAGGGATCAAACGTACACTCGATTGGTTGGTAGGATCAGAGAGACGCAGGCAGGCAGGCAGGTGAAGAGAGATCGATGGCCAGATTCCCTCCTGGACGATGCCCCCACATACGCCATGATAACGCCCGCACAGTAACTAGATAGTAGTAGTAGTACCCAGTAATAATTCAGCATGCATGCTGCAGGAACACATGAGCCAAGTAAAGGCAAGGCAAACGCACTGTCATTTCGTCCCCAGCCGAGCTTAATGTAAGACAGTGAAGAGAAAGAGATGGGGTCAGATGCTTGCAGCTATATGTGCTTTGGTTGGTTCGCTGTACGTACGAGCGAGAGCGATCAATCGCACACGACGAGGACGGACCGGCGCTTGTGTTCAGTGCTCGTCTCGTGTAGTCGTGTGTGGGGGCGCGCGCGCGCGCGCGCAGCGCGGGTTTACAGCTGCATCGATCGACCGAGTGCATGCGCCTGCAGCGA